ATTTTGGTTACATGCTGTTACCTAGAATTACATTCAGTGGAGTAAAATAGGGATTTATAGTTTGAGTAAATAATGTCTGCAGTATCTCCAACCTTGTTTCCTTACTTTTTACGATCCATATTTGCAGGTTTTTCATTCCCAATTTTTATATTTATCATGTTTGCTGGCTTTCTATGCTTAATTGTGGGCAAAGGACTACTTGATATGATAGCTAACTTTATATATTGTAATGATAATAAGCTTATGTAGTAGCTAGCTGATACAGTTCATGATGATATACTGTAACTATTGACTATTTGATCGCATTAGTTCGAGATGTAAAATGTTAAGCTGCAGCTGGAGATTGTCATTGAGAATATAGTGAGTATTTATAGTTTCTGTTACATTATATGTATATAATGCATAGCAATAGGCAAATATATGCCTAGACTAAGACACACCCCTCCCCACTAAGCGAGTATAAAAAAAAAAGAAATTACCAGTAGAAAAGCAGATTTTTCAAATAAAACATATACGTCCAAAACATCGCTTTAAATAAACCTTCCTGTCTTTTAAAGTAATTATTCTATGAATGTATGAAATAAAATTTTATATTATGTGTACTGATTTTGCTTACTCCTTCATTTCATACATAATATAGGGTTGGCTCCCTAAAGGCACCGATTGTATAGTATACAAAGCATTGAGTATCTAATATTTCTATTAGTCTTCTAATATTTCATCTATTATTGGCTGGTAATTTCTGTTTCACTCTGTACTTAAGCTTTGTAAAAGAATACCAGATATGTGTAAGAAAATTAACTTCAAGGGGTAATGATAACATCGTTGTACACTATAATTATGATGTTTTTTATCTTATTTAAAATACAGAAAAAACACATCGACTTTTCAATACCCCTACGACCTTCACAGTACCTTATTTAGTATTCTACACAATGTTTGAGTGCAATATACCAAGCCGTTTTAGTTGTAGAGTGGCAAGAGAATAATAAGAATAAGAATAATTACAAACTAGCCGTTTTGAGCGGCTTTTCTTTTCCTTGTAAATCTAACATGCGTGCTATTTTGTGTGCATTTTTAAAGTGTTGTTTGAACTGAATCTTTACTGCTCAAGTTGCTTTTGTACTTGAACGTTCAAAAATAGGGTTTTGTGAAATTATTTGCGATCCATATTATGAATCACTATCGTGGTTCATGATAGGTTTCATTGGGATCGATAGCACTCAACAAGAGTGTGATGATAAATATCAAGAATTTTGTTTACAGAAACGTTTAGCAGATGGGTCAGACTTTATCGACACAGCTTTAGAGTACATGGTATAACATTTTCTAATATCCTTGTCAAAGAATCAGTATGCTAATAGTAGTTAAATTACATTTTCTAGTGTTTTGGAAGAAAACGCTGTCTCTAAGAAGAGTTGATTACTTTAAACATGTTTTCAGTATTTAAGGACCACCAAGAAACTATGCTAGTTTAAGCCTGTATTCAATGCTAACTATATTAATTTAAGCATTTTTTTCAGTGCTTAAGGACCGTAAACTGACTACGCTAGTTTAAGCCTATTTTCAGTGTTTAAGAATAATTGATTACACTAGCTTAAGCCTATCTTAAGTCTGCATTCAATGCTAACTATATTAATTTAAGCATTTTTTTTCAGTGCTTAAGGACCGTAAACTGACTACACTAGTTTAAGCCTATTTTCAGTGTTTAAGGATAACTGATTACACTAGCTTAGCCTATCTTCAATGCTTAAGGATTGTTTGTAAACGAACTACATTAATTTAAGCATTTTTTTTTCAATGCTTAAGTACTGTAAACTGAATACAATTTTTGTGTTGACTAAAGAATTTTTCTAAAGAAAATTTATTAAACAAACATCTATGATTTTATCTTATTGTACCTCTCACTAGGACGTCAGCTTTCTTTGGCATTTGAGAGTAATTCAGAGAACGGCTATTTTCAGCAATATTTCACTTGAAATTATTGATCACGCAAGTCTGTGCGTCACTGTGTATGGCCTTATTACCACGTATAACGAAAACCTTCTTTGATAGAACTAGTTGGACTTTCGAAAGTTTACTTTTTTTACAGTCCCCATACTTGGTTGCATCGATACTTGTTTTTCCTTTTATAAGCAACCGGCATTGCTACTGAAAGAAAAAAAAAATCTTCTCTTCTTTGTAAAGCTCTGCTTTATTGGTCAGATGGAGAAAGTGGACCAATCATCAAAAACAACTTTCTGCCCAGGCTTCAAGTTAATGGCAGTGCTGAAAGTGGTTCGTCGATAGTTATTTCGCAGAGCCCACCAACAGCGCTAACTCTTTGTGTGCTCGTAAAAATATAACTTTTATATAACATTTTCAAGAATCGTGTACTACAGGGTAACTTACGCAATACGTCCGTGTAACGTACACTTACGCCTACAGACCAATACCTACATCTTGAAGAGTCGTGGACTACAGGGTAACTTACGCAATACGTTCATATAAAAATGTAATTTATAGTACACTTTCGCCTACAGACCAATACCTACATCTTGAAGAGTCGTGTACTACAGGATAACTTACGCAATACGTTCATATAAAAATGTAATTTATAGTACACTTTCGCCTACAGACCAATACCTACATCTTGAAGAGTCGTGGACTACAGGATAACTTACGCAATACGTTCATATAAAAATGTAATTATTAGTACACTTACGCCTACAGACCAATACCTACATCTTGAAGAGTCGTGGACTACAGGGTAACTTACGCAGTACGTTCATATAAAAATGTAAAATATGTCGCGTAGCCTTTAGAAATACGCGTAAACTTGTAACACGGTAGTGCTTTTTATTTTTCTATCGCTAGGCAGCTTTTGAAGCAGCAGTACACTCAAACAGAAAGGCTTGGGGGGGGGGGGAGAATCATTTATACGTGCTTTGCTGAAATCTATTGCAAAATTATTTAGTCTGTCATGCCACTTAGCTAATACGAACGTTACGTCGATATTTTGAAAAGAATCTTTTTTTTTTTGTAAAATTACCCAAGGTTATAACCTTTATATTTTTGAAACAAAAAAATTTTTGTCAGTTTTTCATGTTCTAAAGAAAACAGGTAGTCGCTGTGAGCTTTTGAAAAATATAATTTTATCTTCAAAAATCCCGAGATTCAATTGTTTTTGTATTTAAATGTGCACTTCCGTTCTTTTTTTTTCCACGAAAATACCGAAGGTTATATAACCTTTGTATTTTAGAAAAAATCTTTCCTTCGTAATATTTGATGTTATTCTACGGGGAAATGTGTATCCATTGTTGGCTTTTCAAAATTGTATGTGTATTTATGCTTCGATTTTCGTACGCAGTGCTAATGTGTATCGGAAATCAGAAGCAGCACTGACGTTAGCAAGTGTTATCAAATTCTATTTTTCAGGCATTAACCATCTGTGACATTTCAAAACGATCACAGTAAGAGATGAAAAAGAGTGAAGAAAATAAGGAAATTACTTTAGTGGCACATTGCAGTGAGTAATTAATTATAAGCCATATATTTGTTTCATAAGATATTGTACTTATTATGTTTATTTTTACTCTAACACATTACGATCTCGTATCAACATTTTAATGCCTTTCATAATCTGATCTACACAAATTAGTAGGAAAAATGGTATTTATCTTTCAAATAATACCACTGAAGAGAATAAAGTGATAAAAATCTTGAACAAAATAGTAGCGAAAATATCATTAATGGATAAAAAAAATCTACGCCTGAATGAGTAGAATAGAGGAATAACAGTTTTTTAGTAGACTGGTCATGACTCGTGCTTCGTGCCAGGCTGCGGATCGATAGGTCCAATGATCGCGCTGCTGATCACGCATCGCACTTTCAGCTATGATCGCGTTATAAAAGTAAAAGTCAGTACGTTATTTGGATCAAGTAGCTGAACAAAGCCCTTGTGACGGTGAGTACTGCTGATTGACTCTTCTCCATCTGATCAATAGTTCAAAATTAAGGAGGATTATACCTGGATTTTAGGGGCCTATTATGATCGTTTATCTCATGTGTCGCACAAGGTGCCATTCAGGTTGAAAACAACGGTTATATCTGAATCTTATCGGCTTTATTCTGATCGTTTAGACCATGTTTCGCATAAGGTGATATTCAGGTTGAAAATAACGGATATACCTGAATCTTAGGGGCTCTATCCTGATCGTTTATCCCATGTGTCGCACAAGATGCCATTTAGTTTGAAAATAACGGCTATACCTGAATCTTATGGACTCTATTCTGATCGTTTAGACCACGTGGTGCATAAGATGCCGTTCAGGTTGAAAATAACGGATGTATCTTAATTTTAGGGGCTCTATCATGATCGTTTATCCCATGTGTTGCACAAGATGCCATTCGGGTTGAAAATACAAATGTGTTTTATTAAAATAACAAACATTACCTCAGGCAACAAAGTACATAATACGACTTTCTGAGAACTGCGCTATGAACTCTGGCTGCCCTGCTTAGATAACTGACATGAGATTATACCAAAATGTGATGATGAATCCAAACTAAATTAACTTAAATATTTGAAGTTAAGCACAAAGCTACACAACTGATATCTGTGCTCTGTCCTCTACGGGTATCGAAACCCGGTTTCTAGCGTTATAAGTCCGGAGACATACCGCTGTGCTACTGGGGGAGGGGGTAACTTAAATATCCCAAATATGTTTTTCCAAAGCATTACTGCTTTTTCAGTTACTTCCATGGTAATTACACACATTATTATGTGATAAATTTCAACTGATTTACATTTATTATTGAATAAGTAGTTTAATATTATTAATTCTCAATTTTATCTCGCATGCAATTGTATTTTGCCAC